CCCACTTCATCATCGCCGCTCACGCTTTCCGCGGTGTGAACCACCATGTCAAGGAGATGGTCACCGTAATGATGTGTATGTACCTGATATGCTGTGTATCTACTCAAGAGCTTCACCCGCCGCACATCATCAGACAGACTGTTTGAATGGAAGTATAATGTGCTCCTGTTTGACTTATGTTGGAGCTGGGCAAAGCGGAACACCAATCAGCAAACAGAGCTGACGTAGTAATCTAGGGCAAGGACGTGCCTAGAAGAAACGAGCCTGTCTGGTTGTTTGGGGGGAAAAGCCAAGAAAGCAACCTAGCCCAGCTCTGTCATGAAAGCATTTTAGGGCAAGAGGCGGTGCGATAATAGGATTTAGCTTTAGTTGTTTAGGGGCGATACAGGGCTCAATATTATCTGGGGAGCAGTAGGAAGGAGGGCTGAGTCTTGGAATCTAAGTCTGGTGAATGACAGCTGGGCGTTATTGGGTGATAATCCAAAATTTTGGGTATAAGCGAAAGAGGACTGGCCGGACAACGTGCCTAAAATTCGGGGCCCTTATGCTCCGAAGATGACAGCAGCGCAATATTAGAAAATGGAGCTTGCGCTATATTATACATGGGGAGAAATCTTGATACTCACCGCCATTTGAATAATGACAACAAGTTGCTAAGTAGAAAATGAGGTTCGATGGACTAGGAAGGACTCAGTTTGTCATTAAACAATATTAAATTAAACTTGATCTGGTACATCACATAAAAGCGCGCAGAATTCTGATTTGGTTAAGGAACTGAGATGCGTAAGGCCTGATAGAAGTGAACTTCCTTGATGATGGACTGGTTAATTTGGTGCTCACTACAGAAGTTGGACATTACCTGCGGAGAAATTAAGTGTAGTAGAAACAGTCAGCATTCACCAGACACCGCATCTCCTCCAGTCCCACAGGCGACTCGCAAATCACCGGCGGTCTGAGCAAGGTTTTCAAATTGGAAGATACATGGAAGTGCACTGTTCATGCATGTTTGTAGCAGCTGGGTTCGGGTCGTCCCAGTTGTCTC